GTAACGAAGTACTTGTACTTCGTTACTTCCCACCACTGGGTAATACCACTTCACCAAAGTCCACATGGATGCAAACTTAGGGTAAGAGTGAAAATAGGACCCAAAATGGGCGGGGCAAAGGAGAATGCAGAGAATATGGGACACACTAGCACTGAAGCCCTTCAACATGAATGAGCTTTTGAAGGACAGAAAGGCAGAACAAGGGTGGAAATGCAAGTATTGAACAGAGCCTTTATCTTTTGTGAAGAAGGAAGTCGGCTCAGTGTCTTCTTCAGAGGATTTTGTGATGTTTCCTACAGTGGTTCTAGGTCCAGCGCCCCCCCCAAGGGGAAAGGGTGAACAAGTTTTTCAAAAAGTTTGGTTCATTTTACTCAGGGCAGTGTGAAAGAGAACCACAGCAATTGAAAATGAAACAAATGTTGGAGTTTGGTCCTCATTTGAACCAAGTCTACTGGACTATGAGGTGTGAAAATGCCCAAAGATTAGGTTATATATTATATATTATATACTGTCAAATATCAGTAGGTAGTACAGTTTGAAACAATGTGTGTAACTCACGTTTTTGCAAAGCAGTTCAAATATACTGACCAGAGTTTTGAATTGCCAATTTTGAGTCAAAATGTAGACTTTGAAAATTTTTTTATAAATTCTAATAATAGTTTATAACAGAACATAGAAATTAACCCAGTGATATTAGGAACCAAATGCAGTGATTTTTGTCTTTTGCATTGGATCTCTAACAGGAAAAATCTAATATTTCTAATAAGATGGCTCCAAGCTGCCTTTCAGACTGTAGAAAACTGGGTGGGGCTGTATCACTAAAATTTAGAGGTGCAAATGTTACACAATCTTTTGATAAAATACTTCCTATAATGTTTGATAAATAATCACTAAAGATTTTTTAGATTTTAAAATAAAACTACAGACTGGCAACCTGTCCAGGATGTCCCCCGCCTCTCGCCCGGAACGTTAGCTGGAGATAGGCACCAGCACCCCTCCCGACCCCACTGAGGGACAAGGGTGTTCAGAAAATGGATGGATGGGACGGATGGATGGAGAAAGAAATAACATTTTTGTAATAAAGTGGATGGATACTTTTTCTTCTATGGGATGTAGATGTGGAAAAATCTATGAATAATTCTTTATTTTATGTTCTCTGAAGTTCATCTATACGTAATTCTTTGAGCTCTTGAAAACAAAGTCTAAATATTTGTTGGTGCACACAATCATGCCCTGTAAAGCTGATTTTTGATTCTAAAAACATACAAAGTTTCCAGCCTTTCCAACCAGTCAAAAATATCAGATTCTTTTAGAGGTAATCTTCTGTTTAAAATTTATTGTAATTAGTCCATCAGATGGGCTGCACAGTGGCTCAGCATTGTTGCCTTGCAGCACGAAGGTCCTGGGTTCTGGTCTGGACAGACTGGCGACCTGTCCAGGGTGTATCCCGCTTCTTGCCCGAAATGTAAGAAAATGGATGGATGGTCCATCAGGCCTGCATTTGTTTTTATATCTATATTTAAAAACTTAATTGGCTCTCTATTGCTTTATGCCAAAGTCGTTAAGAGCCACTGTGAAAAGTGCAAAGAGCCCGGCCCCTGGATTAGAGTGAATACTCTCAAAGTACTGATTGCATTATGTCTTGAATTTGGTGAGCTCACACAAAAAAGATTTCTTGGTACCTTTTACGCTTTTGTTTATGCTGTATAGCTCCATTGGCCTGTTCCATTTTAGTTGATTGTTCTGATATATACACATATTTCTTTGTGGATCCAGCTGGGATATTTGCTGATCTGAACTTATAAAGCCTCCAGAAAGGAAACCAAAACCACAACACCAAACAAAAACACACTCAGTTGCCACATAAAGTCTTGAAACATGGGCAGCCTCTACTAGCTGTGAGTGACACATGCGGCAAGAATGTGGGCAGACAGAGACAGGGAGCGCGTGCCACACTTCAACACAAATTTAGCCCTGAGTCTGGGCATTCTAATACACTGTGCAGCCTCAAACCCAGAAGCCCAGACTGTGGTTACGGCTGCACAGCCTTTGGCTTGGAGCTCAAACCAACCACTGTGACTTGTTCTTTTTTTTCTCTGTGTTTAACCACAGAGGGCTGTGGATGGCAGCTGGAGCTTATGGGGACCATGGCAGCAGTGCTCCAGGACCTGTGGAGGTGGGGTGGAGTTCTCCTACAGGGAGTGCACTGATCCTGTGCCTCAGAATGGCGGGAAGTACTGTGAGGGACAGAGAGTTCGATACCAGTCCTGCAACACAGAGCCTTGTGACGCCAGTGAAGGTAATATCAATTTAACTTAAAAAAGTTCACTGGACACTTTACACTAGATCTGTCTTTGTCAAACTGTGGTCCCCAGACCACAGGGGGTCCGCGGCCGCCCCCTAGTGGTTCACAAGGTACAGCATGTCAATGGCCATTTCTTTGCCATGAAGTGAGCTCAAAGTGTGACACGTACTAAAAATAACAGGGGATAATTTCTATCCCTGTTTTGAGTCTAACTGACACAAAACAGTGTCAATTAAAATTTGTTTTGATTTGAATTTGGCTAATTTTTCACTAATTACGTTGCTATGATTACTCAAAATGCCTCATGGGATCGAGGCACATGTTTTGATATATATATTGTGAGGGGGCACGCAGCAGTACGAGACGCATTAATGGTGAAAGGAAGCGGCAGTTATTTTCTATTGTTCTACTATCCTATATGCTCTCCTATGCATCGCTATGGGAGGCCCCATTCAGATAATTGGATTAATATGGGTCGTGCTAGAGATAGATAGATAGATAGATAGATAGATAGATAGATAGATAGATTTTATTAATCCTTTTGGGATTTTACCTCAGGGTAGTTCCCGTCTCCCACACAGCACCAATACAACAATACATCAAATACTTAATGTTTTTGTTTTTTTTAGTACATTGACGGCCAGACCCTATGGTCATTTTGTTTCTGTTGTACTCCCGTTATGTTAGCACTCCTTCCAACCTCCAGTGAGGAGTTGGAGAGTTTACTTGCATGATTGACAACAGAGTTCCTTAGTCTGTTGGTCCAGCATTTTCAAAGAAGCAGTCTCCCCCTGAACCTGCTTTCCTGGCTGCTGGTGACAAAGTGCACAGGATGGCTGGTGTTGTCCATGATAGCCTGGAGTTTCTGTAGGATTCTCCTCTCTGCCACTGCTGCCAGAGAGTCCAGCCTTGTGCCAACCACTGTGCCAGGCCTCCTGATTTGCTTCTCCAGCTTAGAAAGGTCTGTCTTAGAAATGCTTCCACCCCAGTAAACCACAGCGTATAACAGGACGCTGGCGACAACAGACTAGTAAAACAACCCCAGCAGCTTTCCACAGATGTTAAAGGATCTCAGCCTCCACAGGTAGTACATCCTGATCTGAGCCTTCTTATAAAGCTGTTTGGTGTTCCTTGTCCAGTTCAGCTTGTTGGTCCAGCCACAGGCCAAGATATTTATAAGTCTGCACGACCTCCACCTCTCCCCTGCTATCAGAACTGGTCGTGGACTGCCTCTGTCCCTCCTGAAGTCAATGACCAGTTCCTTCATCTTGGAAGTGTTTAGCTGCAGGCTGTTTCTATGGCACCAGACAACAAAGTCCCTCACCAGGCTCCTGTTACTCCTCTTCACTGGCCTTAATGCACCCCATGATGGCAGTGTCATCAGCATACTTCTGAATATGACATGTTTCAGAGTTATAGCAGAAGTCTGAGGTGTACAGGGTGAAGAGGATGGGTGACGGCACCGTCCCCTGAGGGGATCCACCTGTGTGTGTCACTGTCATATTCATTCAAAATACTCTGTCCACCTACTTCAGCCTGGAGAGCATTTCTCACCACCTACAAGATAAAAGTTTAGAAGTAATTACCATGAACACAACTCAGACATTAGGCATTATAGAAATTAGTCAGCATATAGAAACATTCTGGACAGCATTAAAAGTTCTTTCAGAAGAAAAGTGTTGAAGTCATCATAGCAGGCTTCAGTCACCAACATGACGTACTAATGAAAAAAAAAGAGTCAGCCAATATGTCATTATTTATTATCATTATTTATAGAGACAAAAACATTTTGGCTTAGCTTTGATCACATAGATCAAACCACCGGTCCAGCACAGACACTATCCCCATTATGCCGTCTATAGACGAAAACTTCAAGAAAACCACTCAGCAGCTAAATAATGTTAACTCAAACGGCCTTTCTGACAGTTTTAATGTCCGTTTAACCACCGACACCCCATGCTACACCTGCTTGGCTAGCTTTAGCTGCTAACAAAAATAATAAACCAAGGTGCTCAAGTCCAGTCCTCGAGAGGTCCTGCATCTTTTCGATGCATCTTTACTCCAACAGACCAGGATCAGCTCTGAACAGACCTGCTAACCAGCCATTCATTTGATTCAGGTGTGTTAGAGCAGGGACGCGTCTGAAAGTTGCAGGATGGTAACTCTGGAGGACTGGACTTGAGCTCTCCTGTACTGAACAGTCGCCCCGCGATATCCAAGCAAATAAACTTACGTTAAGTAAACTATGCATATGACTCGATACTCTTGCACAAACGGAAAGCAAATGCATCCATAAAAAATCATCAAAAACATGATAATCTTAACATGAAACTTATCTTGTTACGATAAGCTCCAGACAAGACGCTGCACTGTTGTCCCTGCTCCTCGGGCAAACATGACGTCACAGATACATTACAGTTGTGGGAGCAACTCTGTCTGGAATAACACCAACTCTTTAGGGAACTAAGGAACTAAAGTTGAATTAGACTAAACCAGTGTTGAATTAACACTGTATTTTTAACATACAACATCAACACTGGAAATCTAACACTTTTGAATTTGCTGTGTACACACATGCCCACACAGGCATAGTTTGTATTTTATTGGAATTTTGTGTACCAGACCACTGCAGTGGAGCACATATATTTGTTCACAGAACATCTATATTTATACTAGAGCTAAGTTTAGAAGTGTAAC